GTTCTCGACTTGATTTTTATTTTATTACCTCGTCTCCATTGTTACTATTTGCAAATAGTCAATAATATTGTAGGTCCATTTTATTGTTGTTTTTTCTACGCTCCGTTATAACACATTTTCATCTCATCATTTAATTCCTGTTGTGCAGATATTTTAAAGTGATTCATCAGGTAGAAAACGAAGTTTTATAATAATGGAATGTACAAAAAGTGACTCGAAAAATGGTGCTAACTCGGTAACCCGTGGCCCGATTTTAACGAAACTCCTTTTATTCTGTTTCTATTCTCAATTCATTACAAATATGGCTGTATTGTGCGCCGTTTTTGCTGTATTTAATTACAGACAAGCACACAAACAAACAAACAAACAATCTCAGAGTTTTAGTAGTATATAGATTATAACGTAAGAACAGGAAAAGAGTCGGCGAGTTTTTCGTCACTTTCATGTTATTTTCAAATTTTTATGGATTATAATTAATTTATAAGTTATTCAACATTTGTTTCTTTATTTGTCCTAAAATTATTAGGTGGTCTTTGGAGCAATCTCTACCAAACTTGATAGGATAATACATTGGACCAAGGAGCATGTCATAGGGCGGTTTTTACCTGGCCCCATACAGCCTGAGCCACACCCACCACAAAAAAATGTGTTTGTTCAGTTAATAACTCTGCAATCTTGGACCAATTTTTATTCCTAAAATATTTTATTTTGAGTTTTTATTTTAATTGTTGTTTTTTCATTAAAAATGTAAAATATTCATATTTTTGCCAGGAAAAATGGCAACTAAAGCACAAGGTCAGCCCCTTAAAGTGGGAGGGCTATATCTGAAAACCCCTTGCTTTTCTCATGGTCAATTCTATTCTTAAGAGTAGGATCAACAAGAAATCTCTTTATTTTGGCTCACGAAGAAGGGAGAACTTAAGTTTTAGTGTGATCTATTAAGAAGTACTCAAGAGTATCAACAAACACTTAAGCTGTAGAGAAGGATTAGCAAAAGTAAGAAAGTAAAGAAGAATAAAATTAAAGTACTTTTAAGTTTAACAGCATTTCTGTAATGTGGAATAAAGTAGGTGAGAAATAAAGTAGTTGTAAAGTAAATATGTGTGAAATATAATTATACATATAAATACAAATTCTTGATTTGTGAATAATGGCCTTATTTACAATCAATGAAAAATACAATACTTGCAAGTAAATAACATTAATTTTAGCCATTGGCATAAAGTACTTATTGTTATTACTTAGTGCCAACGCAATGTATTATACTTAAGCCTATAATTTTTAATTTTATAAAGTATTGAGTAAGATTAGGCACATGTGTTATTTTTAATTGAACCTTAAACTAACAGTTAGTGAAAATATATCCTGCTGGTCACTGTTATCATTCTATCCTATTATCAGATCTAAAGCTCACTTTTTTAATTAATACTATAAAGGTAAGAGATTTCAGAGTAATAGCACGTTCATTTGTATATTGGCTGTTTCCTTTGATAAGATACATGCTCTCATTAACTTATTCAGTTCCATTTTTCAGTTCATAATTAGTCTTCATTAGACCTTAAAATAGTATTAATGGACAACTACATCACACCTAACAATGATGTGCTTCAATATGCTTGATCTTTTCATTTTCAGTGTTAGATATACAAGGGCGATTTCTAAAGTGAAAGTATCACAACTTGTATTGTAATAACAGAGACAGAAAAGAAGAATTTGTCTTGTCAAAGGTATTTTAAAGTAACTGAACCCACCTGTGTGGACTTTGACGAAAAAGAGACAATTATTTAAAGCTCTGGATACAACTGTGATAACCAACAGTTATAGTGATGATTTTAAAGTGAGAATCACAGCCTTGTATTGAAATAAAGACAAAGAAATTGATAAAAAAAACACTTGATTTCTTTGGTGTTGACATTGTATTTTTATAAGAAACATTGTCAGTGGGAAAAAATGTCAAGTCCTGTAAAGTGGAAACATCAGACACACAAACCAAATTAAGATGAACAATTAAGGCAACCTTGTAATCTATTATTATATGTATTAATAGTAGTAGTTTTAATATTATTAGTATTGCTATTGTTATAAATGTGTTATGATGTTCAAATTACAAATTCTATTTTCATCTGTATGCATTTACACTCGTGAATTTTCATTTTTTTGATGAGGCTACTAAGAAAATATGTCCCAGAAGAGAGAAGGATGGGTGGTAATATATGAAGAGGTGGGTGTCTATCTGAAATACATTTTCTGGCAAGGAAAATATTAACTTTCAAAATGAATCCTCACCTTTGTACACAGTTTAGCTAGAATCCCATGTTGAGATGGTTTAGGGACAAGTGGAAAGATTACCTACACACCTGGTGGCAGGGGCTCCATAGGGAGCACACCCATGGGAGGATGATGGGGAAATCACATCTCATCTCATACAAGATATATTCTTCACCCATATAGGAAAGAAGAGACACAAATAAGCCAGATTTGTGTTGCTTGGACAGGTGGAATTGGTACATGGCTATCTGAGTACTTGCACACAGGATGTTGGACAGCTAATACATGTAGTGAGGTTGGGGATCATTTATTCAATACCTTGTGTGCTCACCTTCTCTACCATCAGTATTTATGGACCTCATGCCAGCCATGAGAGGAAGGCAATGTATGAATTTGTTTCAGCATGGACACATATATATACACACACCTCTATTTGACCATCAGTCTCTACAGGCCCTTGTCAGCTGCAGATGAGTGGTATGTTTGTGCTGTAGAAGGAACTGATAATAGTTTTCACCTCAACTTTACTGAACAGATACTAGCTACAGAAGGACTTGTGAGATATGGGTATTGAATGGATAAGTATAGTGAGTTGTATTGTTGGTCCATATGTACTTTGTGATGTATCCTAGATCTATATGTGGGGTGAACCACACAAAACTCTCAGTGACACCAGTCCCACTTCTCACTGTAATAGGATCCTTTGTTTTAGCCCCAGTTTTTAGGTTCCAATGAGTGAGGATTCTCCATGGTCCACCACTCCAGCAGCTAGGAACTGGTAAATTGCAAAGGTCTTCTGTACTCCACTCGACAAGGGGTAGAATTTGCATAAGGGAGACCTGGAGAATGTGTCCAGATCCCCATTAGTCCTTCAGTCTGGAAAGGTGTTTTGCTTAAGACAGTGCAATGGGTGACTGCAAACTATATCCTTAAAAATCAGCAAGCATGAGCCAGGGAAGTGGGAAGAAGGATTGCTCTGGTGCTGGATTTTTCCAGTTTTGGTAGTAATCTGCTATGCTGTTAAATGTCCTTCATCTTTCTGTCTGTTACTGGATTTCCTTCTCAGGTAGGTTCCTTCTTTTTTTCTCATGTTCTTTATTATTTTTCGTTTCTCACTTTATCACCCACAATTCTTGGGTTTATCTTTCTTCTTTTGCTTGTTATAAGGATTTATACTCTTTTCTTCCTGTCATAGCACCTTTCTCTTGCCCAAATGCTTCTCCCCCATGTTAATGACTATTTTTAGCCAGAATGGATTACTTCTTTCCTTCCTTTTCCCGATTCTCTGTCACTGGTAACTTTCTGACCAACTTGGAGATCAGGTCCCTTATCTTCTATTTCACTAAACGTTTCATATTTTTTCTCCTCATCTGTATTCCCTCTCCTACTTCTACCGTTTATCTGAGGCACTTCTTCATGCTGCTGTGGACGTTTGTTCTCTTCTCTGTTTGGCCTGTTGAAATTATTCTGCTTTATCCCTCTATACTTTGGGACTTGTTATGTCAGGCTGCATTCCTCTTTACTGTACCCTTCCCCCTCCTTGGGTATGCATTATTCATCTGGCTCCCTTTCATTGTCCAAATGTTTTCTTTGGGGTTCATTTCCCTTGGTGCCCTGATCTGATAATATATTATATCTGTTCTTATCCTATCCCAGGTTTTCCCTCTTTTTCGACCTTGCCATTTACTCGTTTCCCTTATCTAGATCAATCTCCTTCCCACTTTTTCATTCAGAATTCCAGGCTTACCTATATTTTTCTTGTATTTCATATACCAAAAGTCTCGTTCATCACTCTTCTTGCCAGTGACTATCACACACATACGTTTCTTTGGGCCTCTTTCTCTTCTCCTGCTGTTGGTCTCTATTTCTGCGAACAGTAGTTTTCCATTTTATGACATTAGTCTCTTTTCTCATTCCTCTTCTCTTTGCTTTTTTTCCCATTTTCTTTTTCCTCCTTCTGATCCCATCTATGGTCTTTTTCACCCACTTTGTGGTTGGTCATTATTGGATATACAAAAATGTTTAGTGTAAGTTTTATT